CAAGCCTCGTTTTTTATCATGAATGGCCAATCTCGGGTGCCATTTTCTATTTAGTATTAGTGAAATTTGGGAGTCACTTATTTAATATCAGAGAATTTCAGTTGCTTATTACGTCTCTTTCCCATTGAATCCCTCGTGCTTTCAGTGACAGCATACTCATGATGAAGTATATTTGTTGTGCCAGCCTGTGATATGTAGTTCAATTTAAACTTCACTCTCTCTCTTAATCAGTGTTTATAGTCTGCGCAAGTTCTGCTTTCAGTGTTTCTTTGAGACTTCAGTTCACACTGAACTCCAGTAGTATCATGTTTTTCTAATGTTACTGATCTTTTGGTCATCCTATATTCTTACAGTTCCTATCAACTCCTTGAGATGAAGGTTAAGGGAGGAATTTATTGGTATAGCACCAAATTTCTGGGAGTTACATGTATAAGCATGCTTTTGTGCTTCCTCTACCTGTGCATATTTAGTGTGCAGAAGTACTCTGAGCTTCTTAATGCTTTTTTGAAAGTATATGCTGCTGCTGCTGCTTATATTTTGCTTAGAGTCTGATATATTACAACTGTTTTTCCTGATTTTATATACTGTATACCCTTCATATGTATCTCAAAAAGCTGTGGAAGAATAATATATTTCTATAGTAAGTTGCCAAGTCACACAAAAACATAGTCTTGTTTTATTTTTACAATACAGAGACAAGTAATAGAAATAATAATTCTAGTCAATGACTCTCAAGCTGATGGTTAAAAACACATGGATTTTGTATTATACAATGAGAAAATTTACTATAACATTACATATGATGTCTACTTGCTTCATAACATAAAATACTTTTCTAGAGTGGGACAAATCTTTTAAAAAGGGAATATCATAAAAGAATAATCATGTTTACAAATGCAAACAAATATGAAGGTTTTAAAAAATTATTGGGTAAACAGAGTGACTATAGTTCTTGACAGCAAAATTGCCTAAGTTACAAAACTAATTTAGAATTAACTTGGGGTTGGAATTAACTTGATACTTAAGAAATAAAAAGCGTTATTTCAACAAAAAAGTCAAGATAAAATTTTCTTGTGAGAAGTTGTTATAGCAGGACAACTGTGTTCAAAGTTAACTAAAAATAACGAAGACCATATGAAAAAAACCCTGCAAAATTTGCTGTCTTGACTTCATTTTTATTAGCCCTATCAGCAGTCTGGTGTTTCTAAGTTAACACTAGAAAATAGCCCAAGCTGTAGGGAGGTAACATGACACCAAGAATAATTTCATTAAAGCATATATTTTGTCTTTAATGTTTCTGGTGTATTTAAATGTAGTTTTGTGATATACTGGTCCTCTACAATAGCTTGTCTTTGTGAAACTGAGTAGAATTTTATTTTTGTCATGACAGTTCTTGTTACAGGCTTTAGTTTATAGAAGGGTAATGAACATGTGGACTTCATGTAATTTTTTTCCTTTCTAATGCACATTCTTAGATGTTAATTTTAAAACATCTGTGATGCAAAAAGTTGTGGTTAAATTTATTGTTACAGTTTGATATAAGAAAGCAAGCAAGAAAGCATCGATCTCTGGGATTATTTGGAGATCAAGAACAAAAAACAAGTTTGTTCCTTTGAACATATTTTAAATATTTATTTAGATTTTTTTTAAGCTACAGTTCTGTTTTAAAGATGGCACCACCTTTTAGTTAATAATTTAAGGTTTTCTGAACTATACAGTGAATGACATTGGACAGCGGTTGAAGACAGGTGTGAAATTTCACTTGATGGTTTGAGGTAAGATGCAGCTGAAATACATAGGAATGACGGCCACAAAGGAGGAAAATAAGGAAAAAGGAAGTCTAGAGAAGAGGGTGAAATGGATAAATGGGACTTGGGAGTGATCTGTAGGCAGGAAGCAGAGGTTAGGAAATTAGTGTTAGAAGGGATGAAGGTTTTCTTCTTGTTTTGTCGTCATGCTACTATCGAGGAACTTTGGTATAAGAGTGGACTTCACCACTGTTAGTACTATTTTGTATGTATCTGAGTAGGTGCTGCTTCTGAGGTACCTCTGTGCTTAAAGAAGGGGAAGTAAAAAAGTTCTGGTGCCTTGCCATATGTAGATCTTCTCTGAACCCAAAATAGCTCTCAGACTGCCAGTTTGGGTTTCCTTGACTGAAGCTGCCTTGTGTTTTTTGTTTTGGAGTTGGGACCTGTAAAATGAGCTTAAATTTGTTTCTGCCTGGTAGTGTATGTTTTTATTTCCAGGTTAAAGAGCGGGCAATAATCTGCCTACGCCAATTAATAAAGGAGGGGAAGAACTGGCATTACAATTTTTGTGCAAAGAATATTTGCTGTAAATGATCAGCATGTTGGATAAGGATGGACTGTAAATAAGAACGAAAATAAAATGTAATCAGTTACAGTGAGTGTAGTTATGTTAGTAACTCTGTAGTCTATGTAATCTTACTGTTGTCATAGACATGATGGATGGGCTACAAGTACAAGAAAATACAAGGCTGAGGAATCTTTTGTTTGCTGGAAATCAAATAAGTCAGTTCATATTTGGTGTGTTCTTATACTTTTTCCTTTAGTATTTGGTATTCTAGTCTTTGGTTTGCCCAAGGTATACAACTGAATTTATCTTTGGTCATGCTCAATATGATCTTCCTAAATGGTTAGGTATTCTGTTGTTTTGGTACACTTACACAGTATTACATGTCTAAATATAATTTGCACTGATAGAAAATAACCTTGACTTATTAATGTACTTTTACTTTAACAAGGTGGCACCTTGACGACCTTTTATTTCTTCTTCTATAGGAAAGATATAAATTAGTTCATTTAAAAACAGAACTACAGAACAAACCATGTCTTTAAGTCAAAAACATATTAGGAGATAGATTTTTTTTTTCTCCAATTTTTCTCCTGTGTCAGTGTATTTTGACTTTTTCAGGCAGGAAATGTTGTAGAAAAGAAAAGCATCTATTAATTAAACTTATTTGTCAAATTACAATAGTATTTTAAAGCTTATAGACAAAGGTTTCATTGGTGTTATATGAAAGTTATTCTTTAGACTGGATTCAAGGCTTGTGATAGACACATTCACTTTGATATGATGGGCTTTAACGTCTTGTTACTAATATCTGTTCTTTTTCTCTGCTTTTCTGAGTTTCTGCTGTGTTTTAATCCTAATGCGGCATCTGGTCACTGTTTTGCTTGGATTTTGGTGCCGTAGCCTCACCGTTCTGAGTGAGATCTCTGTGCAGCCGCTATTGTCTTGGCTGAGCCTGCTGCTCAAAGTGAGAGGGAAAACATGACTTGGTGAATGTGTATATGCAGTACTGTAAAGTTTTTTCTTACTTGAAGAATTGTTGGTAAGCCCATGTCTGTTTGGAATAGTCATGATTGGTTTGAAGTGACCACCCTGAAACCAGTCATCTACCTATGATCATAACAACCTTTCATTGCTGCTTCCTGCCAATTTTCCTCTCTCTGTATTTTCTGTAAGTAAAAGAGATGGAAATACAAATTCATCCCCCTGGAATTTTCTTTTCCATGATTTATTTAACTTCATATTAATCCTGTAATCTCATTTTAAGACAAAATGGATTTTGCAAGTATCACTTCTGCTATCATGCATCTAAAATAAAAAATAGGGCACCATAATGATCAGGTAACTTCATACTGCAAACTCCAGATTACTAGAGCTTTTTGTTTGCTTTAGTTGATGCTTCTTTGAGAAACTAATTGCTAATTAAGAATTCTTTTTTTATTAACTATTTAGCATCAATATACTTTTTAAATCAGATTCCTTTTTCTTGGATTATATTATATATATTTTTTAAATATTGTACTGGTTTCAGTGGACTGTGTTTTCATTCCTGGTTAAAAATAGTTTCAAATGTGTCTAGAAATAATTTGCTCTACAATAACATACCACACCTAACATGATAATTTGCATTTCTTGATATTATAGATGCACATTTCTTTCAGAGTAGTAGAAGGGGATTGGGGGTGGGAGGATGAAGACAGGTGTTGCTAATAGGAGTCCTTGTCTTAACAAAAAATAAAGAGAATATGCATCTATAAATAGCCAAAGTCAGTCAATTGTGGTATCCACTCAGAAAGTTCTTATTCTAGTTACTTTCTTCTGTGCTTCATTTTCTTGGGGTGGGTATGTAGAATGTTTTTAAAGTCTTTGTCGAAGTGTAGAATTTGGAAAATACATGCATATGATAGAGACCAAATTCTCTGGAATATGCATAGTTAATTCAAATAGATATATAATTAATTGGAATAAGTAAAACGTAGAATTTTGTTGTTCTGGATTCTTTATCAGGTTCATAATTTAAACTTGTGCAATCTTAACCCATATTTTCTACTCTGAATAAGAAGAGAAAGAGCTACAAGAAGATATCTCATAAAATACTGTTTTCTAGGGACAGTGTTAAGCATCTTTTGTCTCTACATTTTCCACGATTTTTCTATTTTTTTTTTTTTCACATGATAAAGAGTTTTCATAAAAAATGTGTGAAATCCCACAGATTGGTTTATCTGGGTATGGTATCTGACAAGCAGCTTTCAAGAGAACGGAGTATGACACAAAGAATGAGAATATGGCATGGGATTAAATTCCAGCATTCAGACCTAAAGTATCATTCTGTTTCTGTAACTGCAAATCTAATTTTTAAATAGGATCTGTGTAAGCCTATTATACAATAAGTCTGAATATCTCTTGCATGTTAATATAAGACATGTATACTAAAAAGGAATGCTGAGAAATACTCCAGAAAGTTACCTTATCAACACTCAGTACCTATTATCATAGGTGTCCCTATGTATAGTAATTATCCAGTATTTTATTAATTTGTTAGAAATGCCATGTAATTCTGATTTCATTGGACTTTAGAAGAAGACGTGGTCATTGTTGTAAACAACTTTGTGCTACTTCGAATATATCTGTGTATATTTATTGATAATAGTTTCCTTAGTTCTCATGAAATACTTCTCTTTTAATAGAAGAATTACGGAAATTGAGTTGGTCTGGCATTCCCAAACGGGTTCGTCCAATTGCATGGAAGCTTCTTTCAGTAAGTTGTATTTTTTTTTTTTTCCTTCTTTTTGCATTTAGTAGTAATAATTTTTTCAAGCATTGTAAATAATTTTGCTTGAGTTGTAATCCACCAGTGATACTTGAAAACATTGTCTTGTTGCTGAATTGTAACGAAAGTTTTGTTCTTTTGCTCAATTTCAAGATTAATTTGTCAAACTGAAAGGAGGGGAATGAGTAGTAGTAGTAAATCATGTCAGCAGTACATCTTTATTTTTCAGCCTGGCTTTCTATGAAAGAAAGGCTTATGTGATAACAGTGGCCTCTTTCAACCAGTTTTGATGGAATTGGTGGAGAGTTCAAAGACAGGTACATTCTTACAGTTTTCCTGAAAATAGGTACATAGGAGAGGAAATGAAGCCTACTGGTGTCCTACAAAAGTCTTCATTCTGACTTCACATTAAAGTAACTACAAGAAAGGATTAACACTGTGCTGATGAAAAGCTGTGATAGGATCTTACGGATTTTTTTGCCGATTTTTCTGTAGAGGTTTAAGACGAACAAATCTGAACCGCTGTGGTCAGTTACCTTGTGGCATTGGCTCTCCTATTGTCAGACCTGTGAGTCAGTTCAGGCAGACAAGCTAATTAAAAAGCTTAAAAATCACTTTTTTGTAGTGTGAGTTTTTGGCTGGCTGAGCTCTCTGAACTTTGCCTGGTGGTCAGAGGATTTTGCAACGGCAGTAGCTTGGGAGTAAGTTGACTGAAATATGATGGAACAGCACATGGAGGTGTTCCAGTTGGGCATCAGAGACAAGCTTGCGGGAATCTGGGATTCACTGGGTTTGATGTTACAGAACTGGATTTTTTTAATCTCTGTGTTTGCACTATATTTAAGAAGGTTTTTCTGCAAAAATACAATCTGTTCCTCATAGGAGTGTTTTTCATGTCAATCTTTTCAGTTATAATACTTGCAGTGGCAACTGGTTGTGCATTTTAGCTGTTGTTTGTCTGCCTGTGGTTGGGAGAAGAACTTGTGAAGATGTTTGTATTAAAAAGAAGCAAAAATCTCGTGCTGTCTACTCTCCAGAGGCTGTGAAAGACATTTTATCAGCAAATCTTCATGCATTTAAGATCTGTTTAAAATTCTGAGTTATACACACAACAGTTTAACACTATTGAATTTTTCAGAGAGTAGACTTAAATAGCTTTGCTTTTTATAGAATAATTCAGCAGGGAATGCGAAGTATTTACTTCAGATTGAGACTGATTTTCAGTGACTGAAAGAGTCTTTCTTGCTGATGAGTTCTGCTAAATTTGCAGCTTAGTTCCTTCTAATGCTAAATGCATATGCAGCTTCTTAATGGTGGATATTCAAATATCGTTCTGTAACTGAAATTAAACATGCAGTGTACAATTTATTTTAGTTCTGTTTCCAAAGTTGTTGACTGAGATTTTGGTAATGAAAAGAGCGTTTCTTTTTTTTTTTTTTTCCTCTTGAAGTTCAGGATGCTTGTTTTAAAACACTCAAAGTAAAAATTATGGCTAACTCAAAATTGACTTTGAAACAGTAAGCTAAAGCATAAGGATAGGTTAAGTTCTGAATCAGAGTACTGACACTGAGGTTTAGAGAATTGGAATTCTGCAAAAGTTAACTACAGTCACTTTCTTACTTTAAAGTAAGTGCATGGACTTTCCATGAGCTTCAACTTCATTCCGTAAGTTGATTTTAGTTTAATATTCCTGAGATTTCCAGTCTAGAGAAATTCCGAAGTATAGAGTTCCCTTGTTGTGTTTTAAGCACTCCAGTTCAGGATTCATTCCAGTTCAATTGTTATCTTCGGCTGTCTTGCCATACCTCTGCAAAGAAACTGTCTTCAGGTTATTTTGGTTTTACTTTAAGAATTAAATTTTTTTTGAGTAAGAGACTTCTGAAAGTGTGTGTGTGGGTTTTTTGTTTGGTTGTTTTTTTTTTCTGTCACCAAGTAGCATATTTTGAAAGTTCTCAGCTTTTCTTCTGTAATTTTTACCATGATTTCTTATCTACTAAGTGTTCCTCAGTTAATACATTTTGGAAACACAAAGATGAGTCGTTTAGTAATCATTACTTTTCTGTACTGTAAGGCAGCAGCTTGTTTCATCTTCTTTCCAAAGCGGGGAAGAAAAAGTGCTTTGAGTATTTGTGGTCATAAACTCCATGATGCTTTTTTCTAATGATAATTAATTTTTAAGTCACATTAGTTGTTTAAACATGTTACCTACTGCTAATGTACCTCCCAGGTAATAGGGGGTAATGTGATAATCTTTTGTGCTATAAGGTGCACTGGGAGCTATTGGGAAAATAATGGTTTTGCTTTTGTACACTTTTGGTTAAAGATCAGTTGCAAAACCGGAAAAGACCGGAAAAACGACGAAACCAAAGCATAGTTTAGAGCTAAATTAAGGCTGGATGTGTTTGTTTTGGAATTATTCAGAAGTCTTACTTAAAAAGCCCAAACTATGACTTATTTGTGGAACTGAGTACAATTGGTAGTATGTGAGGCAGAAGGTGATTGTCTTGTTTGTAAAATCAGTGTTGAAGTTGGAATTTTCAAAATATCATTTAAAAATTGAACAGTTGAGATATTTATTACATAGAAGGTTAATAATGTTAGCATGTGTTTGATGAATACCGTTTTTCAAAGGGAAAGCATATGAAAATCAATATAATGCTTAGGGGCTGTTGATGTTATGTGTGTCTACTGGTAACAGTATATTAAAAAAAAATATGATTTGTTTTTAAAATATAGCAAAAATGTTAGGTATACTGTACCTAAACAGCAAGCAGAACTATTCAGGCTCACTTCTCTTCTGAATAACAAAACTAAAGATATGGTTGCAAAAGCCTTTGGAGGAAATTAATGAATAAGCGGATTAAACTCTCCACCAATTTATTCCCTGATGATATGTTCAAGCCTTTCCAACTTTTAAAAATAAAACCTAATTTGTAAAGTGAACAGGAAACAAGACATGTCCAATTGAAAGATTACTTCAGTCTTTGAAACAGAATAATGGCAAAAAGGCTTGCTGAGAAAATATTGGTATCCTTTGAACAATCACATTTGATCTCACAAATGAATTCTTTTCTAATGGAACTAAGATATCCTACAGGAAAAAAACAACTATTGAGAATAAACGGGAGGTAGAATTAAATATTTAATTTAATACAAAACTCTGGGACAGGATATTAAATGTCACACTGAGTCTTGAGGCAAAAGTTAAGCTGGTGCAATTTAAAGTACCTCGAACCAGATGCAAGTCAGTACATCTCAAAAGATACAGTTTTGCCAAAGCAAATACCTCGTAAGGTATCTGGAGTGCAATACGGTTTGTACTCATTCTGTTGTCATCTTAAACTAAGAAATTAAAATATACAGGAATAACATTTTAAATGGTTTTAATATAGAGATATTTCCAAAAATCTATTAATGTTTTAGTATGGTGCGTATTTTGTATGTTGACCAAACCAGAAGTTAAAGAAATGGGATATGATGTTGGATTGTTGCAGGAGAGTAATGGAACCTTATTAATGGAATAGTTATTCTTAGAGTATTTAATTTTATTGTATAATTAGCAATTTCAGCATGTTAGGTTTACCCCTTCCATTTTTGCTTGTAGTGTTTAGGACTGAATAAGAAACTTGGTTTTGTAGTTAAATGCACAGCATTTTATTAGTTACTTGCAGTGGCTATGGCTCATTGTATAAGTGTGAATATATTCTGTACTTCTAGTGTAGGATTTTTTGATAAGGATTTTTTTTTTTTTTAAGGAAACTTAAATCTGACATAGATTTGATTTCTCTGTTTTACTAATTACCATTAGTATGGCGATAACTGTTATTGTGGAAGGACAGCTTTTGTAATATTGGCAAGAAATATTTTTATTTGACTTGACTAGTGAATTACATGATTATTAGATTTTTCTTATATTGTCTTGGATGTCCAGATCTCTTTCAAAGCCATCTATCTTTAGAATGATTCTTATACAAAGTATTTTTTAAGGACTGCTGTGTATGTAAAATATGAATTAGCTTTCTTTTTTGCAGTGTACGGGATATTGGTGTTGATTGTTTGAAATGAAGCTGCTTACAAGAAAGCATTAACTATTTCTGAATGCTCATGAAACTTTTTGGTAGCCAGTTATGTGAATAATGGTGTTTCTAATAAGTGTACTTTATATATAAAGTGAACATTTAATAACATTAATCATATTTCCTCTCATAAAATGATGAAATAGTAACCTGAGCTTTTTTTTTAAATCAAAAGTAGACTGAGATTCCATAAATGGGGATTAAACTGGACAAAAGAAGAAAATGAGAATGGATTTTTTGGGGGATTTTTTGCGGGGGAAGATTGGGATTTTCAGATATATACGAATGAGTTCAATGAAGAACCATTCAGCTATATTTTGTACTTAATGCAACAATGTATAACTCTGCATATCTGACACAACCTCCTTAGTGTGTCCATACCTTATGGAAAATAAGATAATATTTATAAATTGCTTTTGGGAAATAACTAAGGAAATGTATAGCTAGTGTTCTTACATCTAGGAGTCCAGTCACTGGTTCTGTTGAGTCTTTTTCTGTGATGAAACTTTTAATAACCTGTTGAGGTGAAATGAAAGCTTGAAACTATTTTTTTTTCTTGGCTGAAACAGTAACATAAAGTAGCTAGAATGTTTTTAAAGCTTTTGAATTAATACTCCATTGTATTAGAGTTTAACCATAATTTAAACATATTTGCTAATGTGTATCATTTCTGCTTGAAGACAACAGAGATAATACGCATTTTGTTTAAAAATTTAATAAAATTGTTTCAATAATAGCCACATAGGAATGCAGAAATTAATGAATTCATATAGCATTACATTTATCTGAACTTATTTATTTGAGGTTTTTCTCTTTGGAAGGCAAACATCATCTTAGAATTCTTGATGAGAAATTACTTTTTAAAGGTGGAAAGACTTGAAACTTTTTTTTTTTGAAAAAAAGCAGCTGATTTTAGTAAGGTGTTTGTATCTGAACTTCTGTATCAGTTGGAATGATTAGAAAGCTGATTTACTAAAGGATTATTCAGATCCACGTAGGACTGCGTGGCACTACATCAGTTTATTAGCTTTCCTGTCATGTAATCAAATGCCAGCGGTGCTTTCTGTAAGGCAAAGAGTAATATACTTTTCATTTCACTGTTGTTTTCAGGGCTATCTTCCTGCAAATGTGGACCGAAGAGAAAGCACTTTAAAAAGAAAACGCAAAGAGTATTTTGCATTTGTTGAACAATACTATGATTCCAGAAATGATGAAAATCACCAAGATACCTATAGACAGGTAGAACGCCTACTGAAGTGACTTTTACTTACAGGACATCTGCTGAAGAATTTAAAGAGATTGTTTTTTGTTTGCTACTGTTTTTCTCTATTTCTTTAATCTTACTTGATAGACAGCCTCTAATCAATTGTTTTCCTACATTTCAGAAACAAAAATATGAAATATTTTGGTCTAAAATTCAAAATAGTGGATTTCTTTTAATGTCAGCGTTAGTCATGGCATGTGGTGCTGCCACTTGGTGCTGCCATGGTTTTCCGTTTAAAATTAGTAGGGTTTTCAAATCTTTCATCTCCTGCTCAGCCTCTCCTTCAAATGAGTGAGGATGGTACAGGGGAAGTATAACAGTGACTTTCTTAGTGGCTTCACACTTCTGCTTAAGAAGCTGAAACTGTGTATGATGTGCAGTAAACATAGGTGCGTTGAACTTTCTTGCCCACCCAGATAAGCAGGTAACTTTTCTTCAAGTTTTGTATTACAATGAATAGTTTGTATTGCTAAGTACAGACTAAGCAATCCTACTTTAGCCTTCCTTAGGGCAGAAGAAGCTGAGATCTTTTTCAGCTTCAAGCCTGATCTTTAGTAGCAAGAAGTATGTATGATAGTGTTAGTTGAACATGACTTCACAGAAGTAGTAGTATGTATTTACTCATAATTACCCTGAGGTAATGAGTATTGCCAATATGACTATAATTTGCAAACAATCAAAATGTGATATAAGGATCCTAAAATGTGAAAACAAAGTATATGTGTTTTTATTTTGCCTCATTGATAGATTAACAATGACTTAAAGATTTGACCGTATGTTTTGAAATACAGTAAATCCATGTTATTCCAAAAATAGTGATTGTCATGCTTTAACCCCAGCCAGCAACTAAACCCCACACAGCTGCTCTGTCACTCCCCTGCAGTGGGATGGGGGAGAGAATCAGAAGAGTAAAAGTGAGAAAGCTCGTGGGTTGAGATAAAGACAGTTTAATAGGTAAAGCAAAAGCTGCATGCACAAGCAAAGCAAAACAAGGAATTCATTCACCACTTCCCATGGGCAGGCAGGGGTTCAGCCATCTCCAGGAAAGCAGGGCTCCATCACGCCTAATGGTGACTTGGGAAGACAAACGCCATCACTCCAAATGTCCCCCCGCTTCCTTCTTCTTCCCCCACATTTATATGCTGAGCATGATGTCATGTGGTGTGGGATATCCCTTGGGTCAGCTGGGGTCAGCTCTCCCGGCTGTGTCCCCTCCCAGCTTCTTAAGCATCCCCAGCCTGCTCACGGGTGGGGTGGGGTGGGGTGGGAAGCAGAACAGGTGTTGACTCTGTAAGCACTGCTTAGAACTCACTCAAACATCCCTGTATTATCAGCACTGTTTTCATCACAGGTCCAAAACATAGCCCCATACTAGCTACTATAAAGAAAATTAACTATCCCAGCCAAAACCAGCACAGTGATACAATGGAACTATAACTAATACTGTAAAACTGTAGGATTGTTTTAACTGTTGTGTTATTTAAAAAGTGTGCTGTTGGTTCCTTTTACAGTATTCTTCTTTCTGTCTAATTAGATCCATATAGATATCCCACGCATGAGTCCTGAAGTTTTAAGACTTCAGCCCAAAGTAACAGAGGTAAGAATGATATCTAGAGAATTCTTTTAAAAATAATTTTATTAATGAATCTGGTATCACAGCATTGGTTATCAATTAATTTGACAACATGTGCTATTTTGACTTCAGAACTAGCTTTAAAACTCTAATAAATGAAGATATATAAGTATAGGCTAAGAATAACAGTGTAAATATGAGTAGTAAAAGGAAAGCCATCTCATTAATCTGCTGCATGTAATCTGTCAATGTTTTCTTCGGTCTTGTGCCTTTGAGGTTTTTTCCTTTTTTGCTTTTTATATATTTTGTTAATGATGTGTATTTGAAGTAATTGAGAGCATAGTTCCCATGGTTCTCTGTCAAAATCACTCAAAGTCTGAAGTTCTTATCCTACTCTTCCACTTTGGAGATTCTCTTTTTGTGAATTTGTAGCATGGCTGGTTTTTTTTCCTTATTTGATTTTGCTTCTTTGTAAGTTTTGTATGTTGAGTACACTATTTAAATTATTTTACTACTGTAGTAGATATACATTAATTAATGATAAATATGTTAATCAAATTGGTCTATATTGTTGGGTAATTGAATCCCATAGGGACTTTTCTTTGTAAAGTATATAGGTCATAAATAGTGTAGATGGTGTGAATCATCCTCTTGCAATTATTTCTTTTAATCCTTCAATTTTTTCTTCTTTCTAATGGTTCTAGTTAGACCTTCAAATGTACTTCCATGCAGGTTCTGTTAGTATCATTACAGAGCCACACACAACATCTTCTGGTAGTTCATTAGATGATATGAGAAGTTAAATGCAGAACTAGCTTTCATTTGTTTTTCCGCTCTTGCAATTATTTGTTTTATGTAAACGCTTCTCCACACGTGTTGGAGAGATCGGTTTGAAGAAATGGCCTATTATAGTTTTTTTGAAAGAAAATGGTGTAGGAATACTGCTTTCCGTCTGCTTTCTGCACAGTGGTGTTTTACTTGGGCTTTTCTAGGGATGAATCAAAGAGTAAAGTAAGAAAAATAAAGGGACAAGAACAGAAACAATATCAGCAAGAAACAAACTATTATAAATGATATAAAATATAAATTATAAATGATATAAAATCAGCATCAGTGTTGTAGCTAGAAATGAGGCAGTAAATGAAATTGGAGGTGAATATTATTTAATGAAAAAATGGGTACCGAAAGAAGACTGCTCAGATACTTCTAAGAGGGAAAGAAATACTTGAACTGGATCAGCAGTAATCTCTTAAATTACCCTAAAGATGTATTTGCATTCAACATAAAGTGGTGTTTTTTTGGGGGTAGGGTTTTTACTACTTGCATTGCATGATTAAACTGTTCTTAAGGTTTCAGTGAAGATCATCTGTGTCTCAAATGAATATGACTGTGGTGTACAATGATTGTGTTTTTGTAGTTCTTAGTTTGGGCAAACATACCCCCAAATTGTTCTTTCTTTCGCCCTTGTGTTTTAGTGAAGGAAAAATTAGAAGCTTTTGTGTGGTGTAAGAATCTATGTATATTCTTGGTTTTAAAGGAAGATTGCAAAGTTTCTTAATTTATCCAAGGATGACTGCTAGATGGTGTATTTATTTCTAAATTGGCTGAACAGTTGTAAAAAACTTTAAATAGAAATTCCAGGTAAACATCTTCTGTAGACTATATTGAATGTCCTTTCTTGTAATCAAATTGTTTGAATGAAAAGTCAACTAGCTAAATAAAAATGGTATTAAGACAGACAGTCTTTGGAGAATATTTTGAAGTAAAGTGTTATTTAGTAAAATGATGAGATTGTCAGATAAAAATAGAAACCTGTAGGATCTTGGACTAGTTTTGTCTTTTGTTTATTTGATTATGCATGAGACAAGATATATTTATATGACTGCTCTTAAGAGTTGGTTAATACATTTATTTAGGCTAGATACAAACTTGATAATAATTCGTAGGAACACAGCTTTGTATTTACCATGGATATCTGCTTTTTCTATAATACAGTTAGAAATGTTAGAGTAAACTTGTATTGATACATAAAGACTATATGGTCAAGGTTTTCCAATGTTTGAAATGTGTATTTTTGTTAAATATTTAGTGTGTTGGGGAAAGCATCCTATAATAAGACATTAAAAAGAATTAGAGTTACAGGATAGTTATGAGCCCTTTTTGGTTGAATGATTAACTTAGATCTAAAGAGTTTATTTGGGAATTTGGAGAGTATATTAATGTGAAAAATATATTAGTGTGGTATTTTTTACAAGCAGTCACAGTTGAAAAGAGATTTCTTTTTTTAATAGCTGAATTATAATTGGTCTGAAAATAGCCTGGTTTAACGAAAGTGCTGACAGTCAACCTCAGAACTAGTAGATGCTCCCAGAATAAAATGCTTCTCTTATTGCTTGAGAGTAGTTAAAATGAAAAGGATATACTGTGTCTAGGTAATTTCTTGCTAAGTAAAATCCGATATGTCAGTAGAACTGCAGTAGCATATATTATTCAGTAAAGTTTGAGTCTGGGATGCAGTTTCAGTTAATTTTGTGGGATCATTAAACACATGAAATTATTTAGATCTTTTTCCCTTTTAATTGTCTTTTGGCAGATAACAACATTGCTCAGGTATCATATTCATTTAATATGATTTACAGAGATCTCATTTGCAAATATTTTTTTCATAAAATCAGCATTGTTTTTATTTCTAGTTATTTGTTAAACTTTTCCAAAGGTATGTTTTTCTAATGCTCCATTGGATATGTGCGTCTTAAACTATGCCTTCAAATAAACATATTGTAAATCCACACTTCTTAGAAACTGTGGTTGCTCTTGGAAGTAATGTAGAATTACTCCTTAAATTAATTTTAGTGTCTCGTGTACAGCCCCGTATCCCTGCTTGCTGGTCATACTTACGTTTCTTTAGTTTGAATGTTAGTAAATTGAGCCATGTAACAAGCATAATTGAGCCACAAAGTAGGTGGGTAGGTGGATATACTTCTCATTAGTGTGATCGAGGCATTGTACAGCTGCTGCTTTCTTGTTCAAAAAAAAAAAACCCAAACCAACGCCACAACAAGACCCCTCCCACCCCCCAAAAAAATTCCTTGTCCATATCTATCCCATCCATCTTACTCCAACCCCATTTTTCTTCCCTAGTGAGTAGTAAGGAAGTGGATGGAAAAATGATAGAAAGCTTGGAGGAGTGAGATATGACAGCTAATGAACACTAAAAGAAAAAAAGTAAGTGTAAAACAAAGGTGTATTTTAATACTATTCTGTTAGTTGGGAGTGACTAGTCTTGAGGTACAGAAGAATAAGTATGGTGGATAACAGCAGTCAGTGGGATGAGGGAAACCTAGGAAGTATTTGAGCTGTAAAGAAGTGATAGAGATCTGATTTAATTTTTACTGATCAATCAGTATCCTGAACTTTATAGAGTTGCAGGATCTTCATGTGTTAGATGCTTTTAGAGCTCCGCTGATCTCCTGACTGGATGTGTGGGCTTGCATATGTCTTTGCCTTTGCTCTCGGTCTGATCCAAGAGTGCCAAGCCCAACTCGCTTGATGGCATCTTATAAAGACTAGTGCAAATGATGCTGGAAGGATCATAACATCCAACTTCTCCCTTGCTTCTTCCTCTCCCTTTCTGGGTTTTTGGAGCCCTACCCTAGGACAGCCTAATCCCTGATCCTCATGGGGGATCCCCTCCTACTCCCAAGGGCTCCATGCAGACAGGGGCCTTGCGTTGTTCCCCGAGCTGACTCCCTTCTGGGGAGGGGGGAGATGTTGCTGGTCCCAGGTGAGCAACAGTCACTTCCCCTTTCTTAAGGCAAGATGGCAAGAGCTATAAAGAAGAGAAGGGAATTGGAGTATGAGTCAAAGACGGGTTTCAAAAGGTGGCATAGTGTGCAAGACTGTGAATATTATGATTGGTTTTGTACATATTAAGTTTTGATGCTGCAGAGATTTAGAATAATGATACCGCTACTAGGAAGAATGGTACTTAGAAGGTGAAGAGGTGAAGAGATTGTAGGTGACAGAGTGTTGTGTGAAGAGAGGCTTTGGAAGGTACCCAATTTAT